CCAGTGAAGCAGCGTCCTCCACAACTAGATTGAAGAACAAAACGACAGCAACTTGTCTGTTCCCCTTCCCCTAATTCCCCAGTACTGTTCCCATCCCCCCAATTACCCAATAAAAAAAAAATCTTAAAAAAAAAAAAAGATACCTCTGGGACAACATCAAGGATAATAACATTCACATCATGGCTACATATTTATCAACAATTACTTTCAATGTAAATGGATTAATTGCTCCAATCAAGTTATAGGAGGGCTGAATAGATAAGAAAACTAAACCATTTCTTATGCTGCCTACAAGAGAATCACTTCAAGTTGAAAGACACACACAGACTGAAAGTAAAGGGATGGAAAAAGATATTTCATGAAAATGGAAAAAAAAAAAAGCTGCGGTAGTAATACTTACACCAAACAAAAAAGACTTTAAAACAAAGCCTATAAGAAGAGAAAATGAAGGACCCAGTAATCCCACTTAGGGTATTTATCCTAAGAAACCCAAAATGATACTTTGAGAGGACGTGTGTATCCATATGTTCACTGCAGCATTGTTTACAATGGCCAAGACATAGGGGCTGCTTGGGTGTCTGTTGATAGAAGGATGGATAAAGAGGAGGTGGTACATATACACAATGGAATATTTCTTGGCCATGGAAGGGAATGGATTCTTGTCATCTCAAGAGGCATGGATGGACCTACAGAGCATTGTGCTGAGTGGAGTATATCAGACAGAGAAAGCCAGATGCAATGTGATTTTGCTTATATGTGGAATCTAAGAACAAAATTAACAAACAAAACAGAAACAAATGCATAGATACAGGAAACATTTTGATGGTTTCCAGATGGTTGGAGGGTTGGAGTGTGGGTGAAAGAAGGGGTAAGGGATTAAAAACTACAAATTGGTAGTTACAAAATAGTCATGGGGATATAAAGTAAAGCATAGGGATATAGTCAGTAATATGGTAATAATTATGTATAGTGCCAGGTGGGTACTAGACTAGTCAGGGGGATCACTTCTTAAATTACATAAATATCTAACCACGATGCTGTACACCCAAAATTAAAATAATATTGAATGTTAACTGTAATTGATAAATTTAAAAGCAGGGGAAAGGGGAAGGGGAATAAGAGGCCCAAATTTCTAGGCATGAAACAAGTAAGTCACAGGGATGTAATGTACAGCATGGGGAATAAAGTTAATAATATTGTGATAGCATACTACAGTGTCAGATGGCTAGTGGGCTTATCATGGTGACCACTTCTTTAGGTCTATAAATGTTGAATAACTACGGTGTACCTCTGAAACTAATATAATAGTATATGTTAGCTATATTTTTAATAAAAATCTTTTAAAAAAACGTAAAGCAAAACTAGGACCCTCATACATTGCTGGTGGGAATTCAAATGGAGCAGCCACTTCGGAAAAGAGTCTGGCAAGTCTTCAAAAGGTTAAACATGGGCGTATTTTGTGAGCCAATAATTCTAATACCAGGTATATACCCAAGAGAAATGAAAACATACATCTGTCTATATAAGTTATACAATATTCTTTATAGCAGCATTATTCCTAATAGCCAAAAAAGTGGAAATGACCCACATGCCTATCAAGGGATGAATGAATAAGTATTATAAAATGATGTCATATAGCCATACGATGGTATATTTGACAATAAAAAGGAATGAATAGTGATACATGCTACAACATGGGTGAAACTTGAAAATATTATGTTAACTCAAAGAATAAAAGACCATATTGTATAATAGGATTTCATTTATATGAAATGTCTAGATGAGGCAAATCTATAGAGTCAGAAAGATAAGTGGTTGTCTAGGGCCTGGGGGTTTGGATGAAATGGGGAGTGACTGCCAACAGGTACAGGGGTTCTTTTTGGAGTGATGAAAAATGTTCTATAATTGATTGTGGTGATGGCTGCACAACTCTGAATATACTAAAACCATTGAAGTGTACAGTTTAAAAGGATGAATTGTGTGGTATATGAATTATATCTCAGTAAGGCTATTGGGGATAAAAGCGAACCAGGGCATTATCATTCTGGAGGATCTTAATAGGATGGTATATAGTGTTGGATAGATGAAGCCCATCATTGATGGATATTTAGTTTGTTTTCCTCACAATGATCAACATTTTAAAAAGAATATTCTGTACATAGCAATACAATATTGAGCACCTTTGCAGCCACCATTTCTGATTGGAGCCTTTGGAGATGTAGAAGTGCTGATCAAATATTATGCACCTTGTTTCTTTTTTTTAGGACCCTGCCCTCTTTCCCCAGAAAGGCTGGGTCAGTGGGCATTTCCTTGAGAGTATACAGTGCCAGCAAAGCATCTCATTTTTAGAATTTTTCTGTCAAAATGGTAACAACACACACATAGAAGAATCCTAGTACTATTTCAAAAGGTCTTGCTTTGGGAAAGTGTTTTAATATTGTTAAAATAGTCAAAGTATCTCTGTCATAATGCTTACAGCATTGGTGTAGGTTCTGGTAGACAAGTCATACAAGTTGATTTTGCTTTGATCCTATTTGTGGAAGTTCGCAAGCATTGCCGCAGGGAAAAACATGGTTTCCCGCTCTGCTGGTTCCCTGACTACTTCTAACAATGGATATTAACCTAAACTCGGTTGCAGTTTGTGAACACATCTAAGCTGAATTCAAAATACCTACAGTTTTAAACAGCTAAAGTGCTAACAGATGGGGAGAGGGCTCGGCGGAACTGTGTGAGGAGGTGTGCATATGTGGAATTTGAGTCAAGAGAAGGCCACCGATTTTTTTAAAAAGAGCCAGGCGAAAGAATCGAGAACATAGTATGTGCAATTTTATGCTCCCTTCTTCCTTCAACATACTGTGTCAATAGGCAATTGGAGCACCCAAAGTGGCTCCTCCCTAGGTGAGGAAGCTACTCCAGGGCTACCAGCACTTCAAGAAGTTTAAGGGCAGGATGCCCAAGAGCACTGGAATGCAGATGCATGGGGCAGGCAGTGTCCCGGCAGTTCATTCCGGGGCGGCTGGAAGCACGGACCTGCAGGAGCCGGCAAGCAGCGGGCGCTGCGGGGAGGGACGTAGGACGGGTCAGCAAAGGTCAGGCGATTGTTTCGGGAGGAGAACCCGGCTGTAGCGGCGGCGGCGGCGGGCGGGGCCCAGGGCGAATGATGTAAGGAGCGGAGGGATCCCACCAGGCGAGTCAAACTGCGTGGTGAGACCCCAGGGGTGTGGGGCGGGGGATCCCAGTCCCCGCCCTGTGTTCCCCGCCCCTCCCCCGCCTCCTTCACGCCCCTCCCCCTCCTCCCCTCCTGTTGGAAAGTTTCTAGAATCTCTTCCCAGCGGCCTTTGCGGTTCCAACATGGCGGAGCTGACGGTGGAGGTTCGCGGCTCCAACGGGGCTTTCTACAAGGTACTGACCCTTTTGCCGCTTTGTCGGGTTTTCTTGGGCTGGGGCGGGTTTAGGGGAGGGTTGGTAGTCCCGGAGAGTGAGGTTTGGGGTCGAAAGGGGCAGCTAGGCCAAAGCCCGAGGCCGCTGGTTTCCTCGCTTCTCCCCCCTCAACCCCGCGGTTTAACGGTCTCGGGGGCCCGGGCTCCGTTATGTTTTGAAACAACACCTCGGACACCTCCTGAGTTTTCCTACTTATGGACCTTCTATTTGGATACTAGTGGAGGTTCCTGGCGGGCCGGTGAGGAGAAGCCGAGTCGCTGCTGGGCGGCGAGGCGCTCCCTGGAAGCAGGCCTGAGCGCCGGGCGGTGGGGGAATCGTGAAAGGAGGTGGTGGGATTGTGTGGTCACAGCCGCTCCCCCGCCCCTCGGACTGGGCCGAGCGGGAGCGCCTCGGCCCGCGGCTCCGACCCCTCCCCATCCCCTCGGTGGGGCGCGTCGCGGAATCGTAAGAATTTACCTTTATATAGGGTTTGGGGCTAATAAACTTTAGTGTCTGAAGGGTAATTAGGTACCGGATTGAGGGTTAGGATCAAAGAGAAAAAAACTAAAAAAACCTTGAAATGTGGCGGGTTGAAATCTTTGCGGCCTGAGAAATTGGGCGGCGCCTGAGCCCCTCTGTTACGGAAGAAAAGGCGAGAGTTGTAGGCTTTGAAGTAAGATTTAAAATGTGAAATGGATCAGGGAGACAGGTAGGGAGGCGACTAATTTCTTTGTATGATTTTACCCAGTGTTTTGGGGAGGTGTTGATTTAAAATTTTTTACCCCCCACGAGGTTTTTTTGTTTGTATCCATCCAAAGGAAGGAGATTCATTACTATGGGATCGGGGCTGGAAAACGGAAGAGGAATTCAAGAGTAGAGGAAATTTCGTAGGGGCTTCCAGTTGTAGGGGTCACATAACTGAAAATGAAATCCTTGCAGTTTAGTTTTGCCATTGTAACGGTCTCTAATGCGGATTCTCCCTGTCTCCCAAAGTATGCCAAGATGTTACAAGATCAATACAAAATCTTCCCAGCTGTTGTCTGTCAGTCAATCTCACTAAGCCAGCATCTCAAATGTTTGAGAGTCCTGGCTATTTTTATGAGGGGGCCTTCTTCTAATACTGGAGTATTGTGCCTGCGCAGAATGTATTTTCACTGTTTCATTTCAGCGTACCTTTTATCCCACGGGATGTTAATTTATTTGGTGGCCGTAATTTCCTATTTTCAGCGTTTCTGCCTTTCTTAGATTAGCTAGGTAGATTTGGTTTGTCACGTGGTACTAGCATAGTGGGAAATCACAGTTGGCATCTAAAAGTATCTCCCTAAGCTTTTTACAAGTTTAAATCTCTTTAGGTAGTTAACGAAGTAAAAGCAGTGATTGATGGAAAGGAGTCTTAATGCATGACTAGTTATATTAGCCGTCTAAATTAAAACTTGGTGTCAGAGGACCTAAGTAAAATTTGAGTAGATATTTCACTGACTCCTATTGTAATTGAAACTTAGTGATTACCTTCTCTGAACTACTGTAGGTGTAGTTATGGCACAATGCACAAGGAATGGGCGTACCATACTTTTCATATCAAGGGTAAATAAAAAGGTTCAGCACTTTCGCATCAACACCCTTGCCCCGTAGAAGTTTCAAATTCTCACTATTTGGCTATACAGTTCTTTGTGTAATGGAAACATACATTTTTTTCTTCTGTCATTTTGAAAAATAGAAAATAATTTTCTCTTAAATTTTACAGCGTGCTGATGGTAAATAGAACACAATTTTTTTTAGCTAAGTATGCTTTCTTGATTGCTACACAAGATGTTCTTTATTTCTTAATAAGATTTATTATTTAAGATCATTGAAAGTTTTAGTAAAGACTGCTACAACCATTTCGATTTCTTAGTATTTTCCTTTTTTTTTATTTTAATCAAGTCAATAAATCAAATGTCCCCATTTTGGAATCTCTATTAAATCTGCATGGTTTTACTTATTTAGACTTTGACTCCATCACTCATAGTTACCTAAAAAACTAAGGTGGTTCTTTGGCAAAGGTTGGGAAGAACCCCTAACCACATTTGTGTGTACTAAAATAATTGCGCTTGAACGTTTGGAATTTTATGTTCTGCCATAATCCACTTGTACGTCCATTTTGTGGAAAGTGGTCTTCAGAACTTTGGAAGAGTGAGAATGGTGAAGTGGAAGAAGCCCAGGATTTGAAGTTATGAAGAAATGGGAATTCTAGGTCTGTATTTCTGCTTAACCATTGTCGATCTAGTAATGGACCCTGAACAGACCTCCCTGAGCTTGTGGGGGGGGTGTGAAATGAAGTTTGAAATAGTTTAGTGCTCCCCAGATATTTTATCCCATGAAACTTCCCACTTGGAAAAAAATAGACTTACTGCACAATTTATTTGAGCTATGTGAATTGAGATTAATTTGCATATAGTAAAATTTACCTTTTTAATACACAATTATATGAGCTTTGATAAATGCTAACAATTTTGTGACCACCACCAACACTATGAAGAGGTGGAATGGTATTCCACCATCCCAGAATTTCCTTCATGTCCCTTTGTAGTCTGCCAACCTCCAGACTCTAGAGTGTTTTCTGTCCCCATAGTTTTGCATTTTCCACAATGTCGTATATGTAGAACCATAATAGTATGCCTTGTGGCTTTTTGATTCTGGCTTCTTTCATTTAGTGTAGCGGTAATTTTATTTTAATGTTTTTTCTAATTTAATAATACATGGTTAGCGAGGGAATTTTGAAAACTCAAATTGCTTTGAGCTGTTAACATTTTGGTGTATTTTTTTCTTTCAGTTTGGTTTTTTTTTTTTCAGTGCACAGGTGATGCTGATTTTCCTTTTCCATTTCTCTCCTTCTTTCTCCATAATACATGGATACACATATTTGGTTCTAAATGTGAATTACCAGCGAAGAATTTCAAAGCCATGGGTTAGTGGCCAATATCATGCCTTGTGGCAGTGCTTTGTAGACGTTGGTTAAAAATTTTCTACTGAAATTGAATCTTTATTCCACAAATTAACTGGAAGTAGTAAAAAGCTGATGATTTCACCTAAAATTAGGATAGTCTTTTTTTAAAAAATATTTACACAAATGATAGCATTTTCTGCATCTCTCTTTTTTTAAAACTTAACAGTGGGTCTACTGGAGGTGCCAAAAAATTGCATACATATGACTTGTATTCATCTTTTGTTATCATTGTATATTGAGTATTACCATTTTAACACAGTTTTTTTCTTTTTTAAAATGTGTATACATTTTTTGGCACTCTGTATAGTTGTTAAAGAGATAAAAACTTGATATGCTCCTGTTTGCAGCCCTATAAATCTATGTGGATTGGAAAGAATGGGCAATGTTAAACACTTAATAAGATATAATTTCATATAAAAATGTGCTTTTATAGCCTTGTCTACCTGGAGCATGACATTTTAGAGTTTATATTACTAGCCATATAAGGCGCCTATTTTTTTTTTTTTAAGCTGTGGGGTAGAATTTACATTCATGATTGTTAGTGTATTTACAGATTTGTGTAACCATTACCACAATCTTATTTTAGAACATTTTCATTACCCTCTCCAAAAAAACTTTGTGCCAATTTGGGGTCATTAAAATGCTGTTTAACTGATATTAAGTTTTGTAATAACATTGAAACTTGCATAGCCATGGGTAGGATATAATTTTAAATATAAGTTGAAAGTAAGTCACTAACTTTCTGGCTTATGTAAAGTTTCAGTGGTGTTCCAAGGAAATGTGTAATCTCTGAAATGGTTGAATGAAGTATTAGACCTTCTCTGTAGAAGATAGAATTAGTTACTTGTCGAGCTGTGCGATTTCTTCTTTGACTACGTGATTGACTACAAAACATTTTAAAGTATTACAGTATTTTCAGAATTTTCTTATTACTTTGCCTTAATTTAACATAATGAAATTTGAGAGTAATTAAATTATGCAGGTTTATTCACCAGTGATGATGACCTATGAAACGTCTGAGAGTGTACTGACTTCAAAGTTTGTATAGTTTATTACTGATTTCTTTGTGGAGATTAATAATTGAGGAAAAGATGACGGGTATCTTAATAGCATTAAGGACACTGTTAAATTAAAAACATACAGTTCCACATATTTTACAGATAATTTTTAGTTGCACATGTTTTAAAATGGGCAATTTTTATAAACATGTAAAAGAACTAAGATTTAACTAAATGAAAAGGCCACAATTACTTTTAAAAATGAAATACTTTTTCCTGTAGTTTTGTCCCTGTGTTAAAACAAGATGTAATTACGAAAAATCTGAAATCAAATTAAAAAATAATCTTTCTAGAGATACATTGTGAAGGTGTTGGTTTTATACACTTATAGAAAACATACTTTTTTCCTACATTTTTAAAACTTTTATGTACCTGTATATTTTCTACATCGTATATTTGTGTGTCTTTGAGTTAGATAATAGTTTTCTATGTGTGCCTGTTGTTCACTAGATATTCTGTGATGCTTATATATGTATTTCCTGATTTTGTTCTCTCAGGGACTCAATGAGGTATATGGTTTTATCCCCAGTTTACATGTTAGGAAACTGATGATGATTAACTTGTGCAAGATTACAGTAGCTGAAGTGAGATTTAACTCTAGGGCTTCTCACTTCCAATTGTCTCGTTTGCATAGCATTAGAGGTTCTTCAAAGGAAATTTTAGGGTTAGTGAGATTACATTTTATTTAGGAAGACAGAACAGACACTTGACTGGATAATAATAACTCAAGAAGTGAGTTCTCCACCACAATGTTAAGAATGTAGCAAACTAGCTTTTTCGTAGTGGGTGGAGCGATATGGGTTCCATGACTGACCACTAGTTCTTTATACTAGCTAATTATGAGATGTTGGTTTTTTCATTTGCAGTATGATGAGACAGTTTTAATAGACAATTTATCAAGTGGTGAAATCTGCTAGGTTGTTCTAATTCACTCAGGT